CACTCTACCGTGTTGATAATATGGTAGAAAAACCCACAATGTAAAAACTACTAGATTTATTGAAAATGAAAGTGAGACGACAGTTTCGGAATCCACCTGGATTCCATCCTCAGACCTGAGGATGGAATCCAGGTGGATTCCGAAACTGTCGTCCTCACTTTCATTGTCATAAATGTAAAATCAGCTGTTCTCACCTGCGTTTTGATAAAACCGCCACATGAAACTGTGCGCTACTTCCGACAGCTTTTGTCCATACAAATGTTTGTCCATTGTAGTTCGCCATTTCCTGCCCACAAGCTAGGGGTCACACAAGAAAATGTCCGGGTACCCTTTTCTATGCATGTATGGGCGTATGCCATATATACATGTTTGTATGGATATATGCCCGTACTTAAATGCATATTGGATATGTGCTTGCCTCACCTACGATCAGCAGGTCGGGGAGAGCATCGGCGCCTTCGGACCAGCGCTGAAGCTGCCTCAGTTCCTTCGTCTTCGGGAACTTGGATGGCCGGTGTTCTTCGAATATGCTGAAGCTGAAATCGTTCTTTGGTGAACATCATGGCGATCTCTGTACTATGTCTGGACAGTCTGTGTATGCTTGTACTTATATGTAGGTATGCGTATGTGTCTGCACTTATGTATGAATGTATGCCTTGCTTATATGCATGTACTGATATATGCAGTACTTATATGCATATATAGATGTATGCCCTCTCTTCCTAGTGCCATCCCCACCTTTCTCTCTACCCCTTCCCTCCTCCCAGTCCCTCCCTTTGTCACAGCACAAAGACCTTGGTCCTTCATAACTACCTGTTGGTGACGCGCAGGCCCGGAAACAGCGGGGAGGAAACCTCTGAATCCTTCCACACACATATATGAGTATATATACATATACATTATATATACAGATATTTACATGTGTATATACATACACACACATTTACATTTTTGAATATACATACATACATACATACATATATATATATATATATATATATCATACATATGTCTATATACACAAACACATATATATATACATGTACATATGCATACACACACACACACACACATATATATATGAATGAGGAAAACACTCTACCGTGTTGATAATATGGTAGAAAAACCCACAATGTAAAAACTACTAGATTTATTGAAAATGAAAGTGAGACGACAGTTTCGGAATCCACCTGGATTCCATCCTCAGACCTGAGGATGGAATCCAGGTGGATTCCGAAACTGTCGTCTCACTTTCATTTTCAATAAATCTAGTAGTTTTTACATTGTGGGTTTTTCTAACATATATATATGTATATGTATGTATTTGCACGGTTGGTGTGAGTGCAAGTGTCACTGCATAAAAAAGGACAATGATAGCAACAATGCAAAAAGAATAATTATAATACGAATAAGGCAAAACTATCTAACTAAAACACTATCGCTACATTAATATTGCAAACCTTTTAGCAATGAATACACACCTTACACTCAATCTTGTAGCGGAATGTTTTATCGGTCCGTTTTAAAAAATGCAGGAACACGTGTCTAATTTTGGAGTCCCCCATGAAGTAGATCCAGAAGGAGCCCTTTCTCGCCAGCCTCCTCTTGACGCAGGCGGCGAAGGAGGTCGGCTGGTCGTAGGGCGCGATGACGCACGGCACGAAGGGCAACACGCCTTCGCCGGCGTCGATTCTGCTTCCCTCTCGGACGTGCGGCCTCGGCTGAGCCTGCTTCGTCCCGGCCGGGGCTTCGTCCTCTCCCTGGAGGTGCTCGAAGGACACGAGTTTGGGCAGAAGGGCGCCGAGGACACGATAGTCGTCCGTGTCAGGCCCCGAGGATGACGCCCTCTTGTCCACCAAGTGCCGCACCCCCCTGGCAGCGGCAGAGATCTCTTCCTCGCCGTAGGTTACGACAGCCCTGGGTTTTGCCCCGGGTGTCGTGTTCGTGGCAACATGGCGGAAAACGTTCTTGTTAGGAACGCCATTAATGGTGAACAGAGAACGACACACATCAACGTCTAAAATCTTCGTGCTTGTTGCAAAGGACGTGGTAGGACTGTAGTAATCTCCTTTATCAGTGGATATAACTTTATAGAGACTCACTACTGTGAAAGACACAAGAATTACCAAAACTAAATGGTGATGCTGTAGTTCCATCACGAGGGAAAGGGGAAGGCTGAACACTGAGATCAAGTGGAACACCAGTTCGGAGGAACGTCCTCTGACAAATGGACTGTTTGATCCACAGTAAAACAAGATAAATGATATCAAAATTCGTTTTAGAACACGCTCACCGAAAGTGTCGTTCCAAAACTGAAACTCCGTAATAATGCACAGCAGCAGTGGCTGGCAGTCTCTAAAAAGCTATTGCTATTTATAGGTTGTTATTCTGCCGAATCTAGAGAGGAAAATGAAAAGCTAATTTCCATGACGTTTTGATTTAAAAAATCGTATTAAACAGAACACGCTCACCGAAACTACCGTTCCAAATTTGAAGATCCGCAGCAATATCCAACAACAACATTGGCTGACAATCTATAATGAACGATAACTACTTTTAGGTTATTCTGCTGAAGCTCTGTTGGTCGCCTTTTACCTGAATCGAGAGAGAGAGGAAAATGAGTGAGAAATTCAGTCTTGACAACTTTCCTGATGTTCCTTCCCTATTTTTATTTTTACTCTTTTTTGTGGAACGAAATAGTGATAGTGATAATAAGGAAAAACCCAATTTCCATGATGTGTTGATAATTACCATTCTCGTCATCAGTAAGACACAGATTTACGATGGCGGTGAAAGTATAGCGAGCCACGTACCGGGAGGAAGACGCTTATATCTATTTTTAGATACAACATACATTTTGTTGCATTGATGCCTATTCACCGTTATCACTAATGACTTGAATGACTGATTGAATTTATTTGAAATATGAGCTACATAACACTAACAAATATTGCTTTAGAATAACAGAAGCTGTGTAAGGAAAATTCTGATATCAGTAGACATGCGCCATACGAGAAAGTGGAAGAAATATTTTCCTGTATGAAAGAGAGAGAGAGAGAGAGAGAGAGAGAGAGAGCAAGAGAGAGAGAGAGAGAGAGAGAGAGAGCGAGAGAGAGAGAAAGAGAGAGAGAGAGAGAGAGAGAGAGCGAGCAAGAGAGAGAGGAGAGAGGGAGAGAGAGAAAAAAGACAGGGAGGGAGAGACAGATAAAGATAAATAGAGAGAATAGTTTAGCAGATATCATGAAACATCAGGAGTAAATACGTAACCACATGTAAGCACTCACAGGCATACAAACACATACTTATATCTAGTATTCTGGTGGTGATAGACGGATAGTGAAAGACTGATAGACAGGAGGATAAAAATGTCAATAAATAAATATTGATATACACCTGCATCCATACACGCATAATTATATACATATATATAGATACAGATATTCACATTATATATACACACATATTTAACTCAAATGCACATACATATCTCTCTCTCTCTCTCTCTATGCATCTATTTGTGTATTCACCTATTTATTTATATGCGTATATACATGTGCACAAACATGTAGGGCAAATATGTGTATAACCTATATATGTGCATAAATGTATACAGTTTATAAAAAAAAATATATATAGATATATTCACACACGAGTTACTACAGTATACGGATGATACAGTATGCAAATGATGAATAGTTATGGAAATGCATAAGTAACTAATGAATCTAGTTATAAATGGCAGATGATAACAGATTGTCATTCAAAGCGATTATCTATTCTTCGAAAGACATTATTGTAGGTAATATAAATATTCTCTATCTCTCTCTCTACACACACACACACACACATATATATATAGACACACACACACATATACATGTAATATATATATATATATATATATATATATATATATATATATATATATATTTATATTTATACACATTATGCATATGTATACATATATAATATATATATATATATATATATATATATATATATATATATATATATATATATATATATATATATATATACATATATATATACATACATATACACATATAAAAATACATATACATACATACATATATAAACACATGTATAAATAGATAAATATATATATGTATATATACACATATGTATATATACACACATTCAGATTCTATCCTACGGTACTCCTCGCACTTCCAAGTTCATCATTGCAATACCAGTTTGAACCGATCGTCTGGACCCTCGGATTCAAAGCATATGCCTCCTGTTCGAACCGTGGCATACGTCAAGGATACGTCTATGATATAAGGATGATAATGATAGTGGTAGTGATAACAGTGATGGTGATGGTGATAGTGATGATGGTGATAATGATGATGACGACAATGATGATACTGATACTGATGATAACAAAGATGTTGATAATGATGGTGATGGCGAAGGTGATGATGGTGATGGTTATGGTAAAAACGATGATAATTATAATGAAAACGATAATGATAACTGTAATGATACTGACGATAACAATAACACTAATGATGATGATGACAAAAACACTGGTGACATATATATACATACATACATGTGCATACATATATGTATGTATGTGCATACGCTCACACATTTACACACACACACACACACACACACACACACACACACACACACACACATATATATATATATATTTCTTACTATCCAGTATTACACTTTGTAGAACCTGAATAAGAATTAGAATATCCTTTTCTTCATATGCTCAAGAAGTACTGCATTTACTATATGTTTTCTCATTAAGGAAGGGAAGATATATTCTTCTAGTTGAGAAAAATCTCAGAGATGCAATGGTTAGTATAGTTCTCACACTAAAAACCTACAACTGTTGTTTAAGAGTGGTACAGGATAAAATAAAATGTCAGATTTAAGCCGAAGTATGTATTGGTAACAACATATAGAAACAAGGGTGATTCGAGAACCGTAAGATTAGCCTCCTTGTCTCCACGGCCACACATACTCACTAATACCAAAGAGTTTCTGTGATCCTGATCTTCTACTAATCCACGACACCCCCGTTTCCTTCCTTCTACTACATCCTTTTCCTATCATTATCACTGTTCTTTCTCTCCCTCTTCCGTTATCGACGCTGAATACTATTATATTTTTAAATAAGCACTTTCTTTCTCTTTTTTCCTCTTCGTTTCACACGTGCGGTATCGCATCTAAATTTGAATTTACTGTATACAAAATATATTTCTCTGTTTGAGAGGGGAGAGTTGTTGGGGGCCATGACATGTAATTCTAAGCACATACACGCACACCCACACATGCGCAGTGTGTATAATGAGTTTAAATATTTTTTCATCTTCACGTGCAACAGAATGTCTCGGACATACCTAAGACGGAATTGCATATTAGGTTGAGTAACATGGTAGCAAGATCAGAAGACGTGCCCGGTCCGGCGTGGTGATCGTCCCTACAAGTAAAAGGAGGACCTGTGTAAGCCACGTCACTAGTCAGGTTTCGACGGTGAAGCTCGTTGCATTCTTCGATCTCCGCCAGGTTGATCGGGAGGTTCGAGTCCCACCACCACAGGCCCGGCGTGTACGTTCCAGGAATCAGATGGTCCCGGAACGACACTGAGTGGTCTTTTAGTCTTTGGCCGTGTCTATGGTCGTTCCAAGGGAAGGGTTCTTCATCGCCTGCAGCGCCTTTGTCTTGCGTTTCGTTGCTGAAATCACGATCCTGCGTGTGTGTGGACTGCCAGGCCTTCAGTGAATGATTCCGGTCGAACGATCCCTGACGATTCGGTCCGTGCTCGCTGTCCTGGGCTTCTGCCCGCTTTTCGTCGCGAGGGACGGAGACACGACCCTCTCTGTACGCTCGCATGAAATGCAAGAACGTCAATTCACTCCAATCGAAGTTCTTGTTGCTGAAAGACGCTCTTCTGTTGAACCTGTTCGGGGAGTGAGGACGTTGGCGGCTCTGGGACAGCACGATGACTCGCGTGGCCTTCGAAATCTGCCGATAGATTCATTTGAATATACGTAGATGTTATGTACGATGATGAAAAAACACATTCACGCACGCATATATGAGCACGTACAGACACACACACCCAGATCTGTGTATTAATGTAAAGATTTGGTCTATATGTATGTATATATATACGCCGCGGTGTCTTTGTAACTATTTCTCTCTCTTTCCATCTCTCATATAAGTGAGAATACATTCTCTCAGAGAGGGTAGCACCACTTACATGTAAACAAACTTGTGATATATAGCGAATTGAGAGCAACTATTCTTTGCAGAGGATACTAGTAAGACCCAGAGAACGTATTAGTGCCTTAGGGAGACTTGGCCAGTAGATTGGCTTGAAATATGCTGCATATGGCTGGAGCGATACCACGCTTCACTACATATTCCGCTGACGTCAGGACACTATAGACCGGGCCATTTTTTGTCACTGGGCCTTGCTCTCTTGAACCTCCCTCACCACTGGATGTGATGAATTTAAGCTCTTGGTCGCTTGCAAGGGACTACGAGAGGCGCAACATATTACAGTAGAATGGTTCATAAGATCTCTAGTTATCTTGACTGCTGCAAGGATGGCCTTTTAACTCTGCAGTGAACATCGAGGCTGCCGAAGAGAGACTGCTAAATACAATCTTCCTCCTGCTCACTGCTGCAAAGCCCACACTATTTTCAGATTTCGAACCCTCTCTATATATTGCATTTGATCCTTCATAATTAGAAAGAATGTTTAAGAAATCTCTCCCTAACTTCTGCTTCAGATCTCTCCCCCTTCCCTATTCTCGACTTGATTGGTCCAAGGGGGGGAATTCAAGAGTTCCAACAGTTAGAACTTTAGCGAGATTCAAAATGAGATCTTCCACAATACTCTTCATTCTCCTGTTATTGCTATTCTCAAGGGGGATGTAGGAGGTCCTGAAATCCTTTGTAGTCTTGTATAGTACATCAGGTTCATGTAGTCCTCGTGTGATAAAAGAGCTCTCTGATAAGTGAGATATCGTATGGTATGGAATATCGTCACTTCCTGGTGCAGTCTTATGGCAGAGTCCATCTCCTTGTGAAAAAGAGAAGTTGTCTGAAGGACGACATTGGTTGTTATTCCTATTCAGGCCAAAGGGTGGAGAATCGGGCAGTGTAAGATACTCCAGAAAAGATCTCTGCCATGGATTTACCTAGCTCATTTGCAACATCAGTTATGTCCATGAAGATTATGCCATCTATCTTCAGAGCAGGTAGTGACATGTATATGCTCTTTCCAGTGATCTTACACACCTTGTCCAATGCTCATGCTAAGGGGGTCCCAAAGTTAATTGAGGAGACATACTGTCTCCACGACGTCCATCTAGCTTCCTTTAGCACTCACCTGGCCTTGGCTTGGGTCCTTTTGTAAAGGATCAAGGTCACATCAAGCTGCCTTAATGAAGCTTTTCTTGCTATGGAAACTTGTTGGCATTCATCAAACCACCATGGTACTGGAGGTTGACGGTACTGCCCACTACTCTTTGGAATGGATGCTTCTACTGCAAGGTGAATTCGTGAAAGGATTAACAGCATCTTGAACACAATGAAAACCAGTCACAGATCCCTGAATTACTACAGTTTATCTAAATAGATTCCAGTATGCTTATTCAAGTCGTCATCTTTACACTCAATTGGCTGGAGTACCATTCACCTCCTTCAAAAGTATTGAAAAGTGGTCACTTCCATGTGTTTTCCATGACCTGCCAAGTGAAATCCAACTGGGAATCAGGTTAACTAAGAGACAGGTCAGTATTGGAAAATGTCCCAGTTTGAATTTGGAAATGTGCAGGTGCATCACTATTCAGTAAAATTGCATCTACTCTTGAGAACAAGGACTCCAAGGCCCTTCCCCACTGATTGCAAAAAGTGTCTCCCCAGAGGTGATGCCGATCATTGAAACCTTCCAAGAGTAGAGATGGACAAGGCAACTGCTCAAGTAGATCTTCCAAATCACCTGTGCAGAGATTATGTGGAAGAAGGTAGATAGATGCAACAGTGTAAGGTCGTGTCAAGCCTATCCTTACAGCCTTCACCCACAGTGTCATCTGCATGGGAATATCCTGATATACCATCACAGCAACTCCTAAATGAGGTCTATTACCAAAGGTCCCATTATGGGCTTGAACTTAGAATCCTCTCAGGGAAATTGGATGATTTTCCCTGGTCATAATCTCTTGTAAGCATATACAAACTGGGTTACATGAAGTTCTTAGACATTGCAATTCCTCCCATTTTGCATGGATTCCTTGACAATTTCACTGGATTAAGTCATCCAGTTCTTCAGGTTGACAAACTACCTCTCTATAAGGTGTCTGACAGCACCTATGGCTAAGGCCAGCCCCACATATTTTGGCTGTTCCTTTCCAGAATCTTGGGAGTACCTTTTGGAGGGTTGTTTACTTTGGCAAAGGACGGACCTGAGCCTTTGGGTCAGGAACATTCTGTCTAGCAGTAGAGGCCCCTGCCTAATGGCTCCAGAGACCCCAATTTGGGAGGAGTCCTTTGAATAGTCTCAGGATTTGTTTTGCCTGGGTAAAGGACTGACCTGAACCTTTGGTTCAGGAGCATTCTGTCTAGTAACAGAGGTCCCTGTGGATGTGGTGGTAGCTGTTATCATTAAGGCTTCTGGAGCCCTGCCTGATGGCTCTAAAGACTCCACTTTAGAAAGAAGCCTTTGGACAGGCTCAGGATTTCTTTGCCTGGGTAAAGGATGGACCTGAGCCTTTGGTTCAGGAGCATTCTATCTAGCAATGGAGCCCCCGTGGATGTGGTGACAGCTGCAGCTGTCACCATTGAGACTTCTGGACCCTGCCTGATGACTCCAAAGACCTCACTTTGGATAGAGTCCTTTGGATAGGCTCAAGATTCCTTTGCCCGGGCAAAGGGCAGACCTAAGCCTTTGGTTCAGGTGCAATCTGTCTAGCAGTGGGAGCCCCTTGTGGATTTGGTGGCAGCTGGAACTGTCACCATTGAGGCCTCTGGAGCCTTGACACTCCATCAGTGGTCTCCACTACAAGATATTTACAAGGTATTTATATGAGATAATTTCATATTTACCAGGTAAGATTTCCTTAATGGATCTCCTTAACTGGTTTGGGAGCCGATTCTTATTCTTTCCCTTTGGATGCTGGAAAGGCTCCAGAGTAATAACATGTGATGTTCCAGAGGGATTGGCCAGGGGAATGTTCAGGTCGTCAGGGAGAAAGCTAGTTCTTTGTAAATTTGTAGAAATCATACAAATTGGAATTCATTTTCTCGCCACCCACCCATGATGGAGTCCAATGAGGGGAAGCTATAGTTGGTGCTCAAAATTTCTCAACAGCTACAGGGGTAGTGAAGAAATATATGCACAACGCAGTGTTGATGGCAGTTGTGGGACATATGTGATACTGACTGGATAGTGTCTGCTTGACCCTAGCCATATTTGACCCACTGATTGACTCAACTGGGCCTTGATCAAGCCACCTCTCTCCTTCCTGACATCTCTGGAACTACAGTCACCTGCTATGCAGATGACATTTGTATCCACTCTAATTCACCACAGCATATCCACCTCCTCCACGCCTTTTCCGATTCATCTGCCGCCTGAGGTCTCGTCATCTCCCCGGAAAAAGCAGAATGTTCTATCGCAACCCTAGCACACTCCCAGATTTCACCATGGAAGGCAGGCTGTCCCTCGTTGCTCGTAGTACCTCTACTTGGGTGCACCTGTACGAATCATCCAGACCATCCCGTCATGAGGATCCATCCAATTGTCAAGGACCTCCTGGACGGACTACAACAGCGCTTCACCCTGTCAGGTGAATAATAGTGTTTTCATCCAACACTAAAATTTGGTGAACAATGCACACAAATACCATCGACATGGGCTCATGATACGCAGACACAATGTGGTGAGTGCGAGGCTTCGGTTGGGGGACCGGGCAGTGGTGGCACTTGTCTTAAGCAGAGACGTACCCCATTATTTGTCCTGCACATTGTGCAATCTTCCCAATGACAACACTCTACACCATCATTGTCTGGAGTGCCCCGTAGTGAAGGACTTGCTACCCCAGGGACAAGATCTCGTGTGTGCTTGTAAATACTTACTGCAAGGAAAGACACTATTCTTGTGAGTCATCCACATTTTGGTAGATAGTAGCCATGTTTACTTTTGTTTCTTTGTGTGAGCTCGCGCGCGTGTGTGTGTGTGTGAGAATGCGAATGTGAGTATGCATATTCATAAAAAACGTGTATACATTGTTCACAGTGTGCCCTGTGAGACATGGTTATGCACCTTTTGTATTTCTCTGTAAAATTGTCTGTCGTCCACTAAACGTAATAAATGTATCAAATCAAATCCCTGTCTCTCTCTTTCTCTCTCCCATTCTCTCTTTCTCTCCTTTCTCTCTCTCCCTCTTTCTTTCCATTCCTCTCTGTCTCTTTCTCGCTCTCTCTCCCTTCCTCCCCCCTCTTCTCTCTTTCACCCTATTTCTCTCTCTCTGTTTTCCTCCTTCCCATACCTTTTCTCACTCTCTCTCCCCTCCTATTTTTTTCTCTCGCGCGTGTTCTTTCTCCCTTCCTCCCCTTCTAACTCTTCTCTCTCTTTCTCTCTCTCTGTTCTTTGTCTGTCTGCTTCTATTCAACCCTCTCACCTTTTCCAGACGAGGCACAACGTAGCGGTGCATCTCGAGCATCATCGCCAGCACATCGTGTAAGGAGCGAGTTATAACCTTGTCATACAGATTGGTCTGCATCAGCATCCAGGTAGTGTAGCCTGATGATGATAACGAGGTGTCTGGAGATATTTGCAGAATAAAACGTGGGCAGATATGGACATCTGTATAGCTGTATCTGTCTAGCAGCTATAGATGTACATATCTATCTATCTAATCTATTTATATATATATTAATATATATAAACATATCTATATACACAAACTTCCACAGACACCCGCAAAAAATATAGATTCATATATACTTGCATATATATATATGTGTGTGTGTGTGCGTGTGTGTGTGTGCATATGTCTGTGTGTGTGCATGTGCGTGAGCATGTACACATATATATACATACACACACACATACATATATATGTGTCATAACCTCTTTACGCTCTCCTATGCAATCGTGTACGCATACACATTCTACGTCTCCACATACTTCACGCGTTCATTATACATGTCTACATGGATATATGCCCGTACTTAAATGCATATTGGATGTATGCATATACAGGTGTAAGCTTCTTGCCTCACCTACGATCAGCAGGTCGGGGAGAGCATCGGCGCCTTCGGACCAGCGCTGAAGCTGCCTCAGCTCCTTCGATTTCGGGAACCTGGATGGCCGGTGTTCGCTGAATGTGCTGAAGCTGAAATCATTCTTTGCTGAACATCATCGCAGTCTGTCTAGATTGTACTTATATGTAAGTAGGGTATGTATCAGCACTTATACGCATGAATATATGCTCTATCTCTTCCTGCTGCCATCCCCACCTTTCTCTCTACCCCTTCCCTCCTCCCAGTCCCTCCCTTTGCCACAGCACAAAGACCTTGGTCCTTAACCGTACCTGTTGGTGACGCGCAGACCCGGAAACAGCGGGGAGGAAACCTCCGAATCCCCCCACCTCACCTTGGCCATGCTTTGCTCCAGCTCTGCGTAGGTCAGGATTTCGTTCTGTCGGCCGCGGTTAGACATACGTACATACTGTACCTACATATCTGTATATATGTATGCATACATATATATACACACACACATATATGTACATATATACATATATATACATACATACACACATTTACTCGCATATACAGTATATGTATATATATATGTGTATGTATATATGCATACACACACATGCATAAGAAGTGTACCACTACATAGGAGGGACAGTAATAGCAACGATGCAGAGAGCATGAAATTTTGCTGATACAAATAAGGTATAACTATCGCTATATTAATATTGCAAACCTTACAGCAATGAAATACCAACCTTCATGTCAATCTTGTAGCGGAATGTTTTATCGGTCCGTTTCAAAAAATGCAGGAACACGTGTCTAATTTTGGAGTCCCCCATGAAGTATATCCAGAAGGAGCCCTTTCTCGCCAACCTCCTCTTGACGCAGGCGGTGAAGGAGGTCGGCTGGTCGTAGGGCGCGATGACACACGGCACGTAGGGCAACACGCCTCCGCCGGCGTCGATTCTGCTTCCCCCTCGGACGTGTGGCCTCGGCTGAGCCTGCTTCGTCCCGGCTGGGACTTCGTCCTCTCCTTGGAGGTGCTCGAAGGACACGAGTTTGGGCAGAAGGGCGCCGAGGACACGATAGTCGTCCGTGTCAGGCCCCGAGGATGACGCCCTCTTGTGCATCAAGTGCCGCACCCCCCTGGCAACGGCAGAGATCTCTTCCTCGCCGTAGGTTACGACAGCCCTGGGTTTTGCCCCGGGTGTCTTGTTCGTGGTAACATGTTTGAAAATGTTCTTGCTAGGAACGCCATTAATAGTGAATAGTGAGCGACACACGTCAACGTCTGAAATCTCTGTGCTTGTTTCAAAGGACATGGTAGGTCTGTTGTAATCTCCTATATCAATGGAAAAAACTTTATAAAGACTCACTATTGTGAAGCACACAAGCATCGCCAAAACTAAATGGTGATGCTGTAATTCCATCACGAGGGAAAGGGGAAGGCTGAACACTGAGATCAAGTGGAGCACCAGTTAGGAGGTACGTCCTCTGACATTAGATAGAACAAGCTCACCGAAAGTGTTCCAAATCTGAAACTCCGTAAAAATGTACAACAGTGGCTGGCAGTCTATAAAAAGCTATTGCTATTTATAGGTTATTCTGCCGGTAGCTCTGCCTGGATCTTGAGAGAGAGGAAAATGAAAAAAACTAATTCCCATGACGTTTTGAGATTTGCTATTCTTGGCAAGATGGTGTTACATGTTTAGCGAGCCACGTGCAAGGAGGAAGATGCTTATGTCTATTTTTAGTTACAAAATAAATTTCCGTGTCAATATCTATTCATCGTTATTACTAATAATTTGAGTGATATAATGATATACTGAATTCATTTGCAATACGAGTTACATAACAGTAGCAAAGATTACTTTAGAATAACTGAAACCGATAACAGTGCACATGCATTGATGACGGAAGAGGGAAGAAATATTTTCCTGTATGGATGATAGCGAGAGAGCGATAGGGAGATAGATATACAGATAAATAGATAGAGAATAGCATAGCAGATATAAAAAATGAGTAAGCATTCTAAATGTGTGTGTTTATGCATACATACAGTACGTACTCCGTATATGTTACTCGTCTGTCCTGCCCTTGGCTAGACCTTGCCCTTGGCGACCGCACACACGTACGTACATACATGCACACAAACACATGCGCTTGAATTTAGTGTTCTGGTAGTGGCAGATAAATAGTGAAAGGCTGATTGACAGGCAGATAGATATATCAGTAAATAAATATATGTACACACACCCACCCACAAATGATTATATATATTATATATGTGCACATATTCACACACATATACATATATACACACACATACATATACATATACAGTAAATATATATATATATATAAATATATATACTATATATCTGTATATGTATATGTATATATATATATATATATATATATATATATATATATATGTATGAATATATGCATATATACATATACAACATATACATATATATATATACATTTATATATATGACACATATATATACGTGTGTGTGTGTGACCGTATGCACATACATTCTCTCTCTACCTTTTTGAATATTTACTTACACACACACATACATAGGCGCACACACATATATACATGCATACATACATATACATACATATATATATACACACACACATATATGAATATATACGTACGCAAACACTAACACACATGCACACATATATGTGTGTGTATATTTGTGTATGTGTGTACGTGTGTTTGTGTGTGTAAAGGAAAAAAAGGAAAGGGAAATATTAGAATTTTTTCAGTAGTATCTTTAAGTGAATCTTATTCTCACTCCTCACCTCAGAACCACTTTCTCAAATTCATATCAGTAACGTTAACGCAGCCTAAAAAGCATGTTAATCAGGGTAAAGGAGACATTTCAACACGGCCCTTCATTTACAGCAAACATCTCCCTTTACTTCCAGGAAAGAATTACACAAGAGATTGAGGAGCATCGTGACCAGGTCATTATTCGTGCCGCTGCCCGTGTGGTGCTGGTCGACGCACTGCAGCGGGGGACCTGTGTAAGCCAGGTCATCGGCCAGGTCTCGACGGTGAAGCTCGTTGCACTCTTCGATCTCCGCCAGGTTGATCGGGAGGCTCGAGTCCCACCACCACAGCCCCGGAGCGGTCGTCCCAGGGATCAGCTGGTCCCGGGATGATCTGAGGAGGTCGTTCGTTCCTTCGTCGGGGGTGCGGTCGTTCCTAGGAGGCTCACCCTTCGCCGCTGGACTCCCGCTGACCAGTTCCCTTCGAGTTCCAAACCTGGTGTTGTACCGCTGCAGCACTTGCAAGAACATTTTCTCGCTCCAGTCGAAGTTGCTGTTGCTGATATCTGCTCGTTTTATCATGATGGTTTGTCCATGAGGTCTGACGCGGCTCTGTGGCAGGACCAACACTCTCGTGCGCTCGGACAGCTGTAGATGAGAGAGAAAATATACCGAAGGGGGGCAGAGCAGCATTGCCCTCTCCAGTGCTCTCTTTGTCAGCAAATATCTCCCCTTACTCGGCAACTTTATTCCATTATTTTGCAAACTGGGAAAACAGATCAACAGATACGTCCCTGAATGAATATCTCTTTATATACAAGGCCATCGCTTGTATACATGCATATGCAATTTCTGCTCATTTACCTATTTTGGTTTGTACGTATAATCTCTCTCTCTCGAGAGAGAGATATTTATCATTTGCCTGTGTTTATGAATCAGAATCTAACTGTACCTCCATAGATATATATTCCGCTACCTGTACCTCTATGTATATAGCTTTATCTACCTGCCCATATCTATAAGAAATATCTGTAAGCACGAAAAGCTTACTTTCTGCAGATGAACAATATGTACCTATCTCTAATATTTTCTGATCAAAAAAGCTTAATTTATGTAGCTGGAAAACAATACAAATCCATCTATATTTTTGTGAGTAGGAAAAGTTTACTTTCTGCATATGGGGAACAATATATATTCATCAATAAGAATTTGTTTGTGAGGTAAAGCATACCTTCTGTAAACAGGGAGTGATGTATATCGATCTATAAGATTTTTTTTGTGAGCACGAATATCTTATCTTCTGCAGATGGGCAACAATATATATATATATATATATATATATATATATATATATATATATATATAGACACACATTTATAAGAATTTTGTGTGAGCAGGAAAAAAATATCTATCAATAAGATTTTTTCCTGCGAGTAGAAAAATTTTACCTTCTGTAGATGGGGAACAATTGCCTGGTGCATCTCGAGCAGCCTTTCTTGAACAGCGAGCTGATTCTCCATGACCCTGTGCTGGTGAATCGTCCATGAAGTATAGCCTGAGGACCATGAAGGACTAATTCAGTGTGACGAATCTGGTAAATAAAACGTGGCCATTTTTGTATTATAAAAGATAATCATTCGAATGGCGCAAGGTGATTGGCTGTCTCGAAGACAGAGGCGTGCTTTTTGAATCTGTGGATGATTTAGAATGTAAGGATAATTGTGCATCTACACATCGGGAAAAGGTATAAAAAAAAAAAAAAAGAGCGAGAGGGAGAGTGAAAAAAGAGAAAGAGAAAGATAAGCAGAGCTATGCCGAACGAGGAGAGATAGAAAGTGAGAGCGACTGAGAGAGAGAAAAAAAAAATACAGGCGGAGCTTATAGTGAATAACGACAGAGAGAAAGACAAAGAGAGCGAATGAGAAGGACAGATAAAGAGCGAGAGCGAAAGAGAACATGGACATAAAGAGAAGGAAGAGAAGAAGGGGGGAGACAGGCAGAGCTAGAGTGATAAAGAAAGAGGGCAAGCAAAATGCAGACATAGCAAGAACGAAGGAGGAGAAAGAGAGATAGAAAAAAAAAACGAGAGCGATATAAAAGACAGAGCAAGAGAGGTTACAGGAAGAACGACGGACAGAATGAGGAAGAAAGAATAGAGCGATAGAAAACGAGAGAAAGAGAAAGGAATCGAACGCACGGGTTATCTCACCGAGGATCAGCATCTGCGGCGCCGGCTCCTCGCCTCGTGCCCAACGCCGGAGCTGAGACACCTCACTCATGCCTGCGATGGCGGAGGGCAGCGGCATCCCCGAGAAGGTCCTGAAGCTGTCGGAGAAGAAGGACTCAGAGAGGTGTTCCCTTGCGTGTGTGTTGGCGTTTGTATATACGTTTGTTTATGTGTGTAAAATGAAACACTACTTCAATAGGAACAGTATAAAAACGTAATATTTCGTACCAGTCAAGAATTCCCCATAAGAGATAGTGTGTATGTATGCCAGTGTCAGTGTGTGTGGATGTATGTGTGTGTATGTGACTGTGAGAGATAGTGGGTACAAATGACTGTGGGTTAACATGACAAACCTCATAGTGATGAGCAGACCAGGGGCGGCGTCAGAGGTGACAATCATATCCCGGTGACGAAGCTCTAAAAAGTGCTTCATTGTTTCCCCATAATTCAGTGTTTTGTTGTCGAAGGTTGGCTGTGAAAGAAAGTTGTCATAATTTTCTTTGTCAGCAGTGATAGTGCACCAAAAATAAAGCTTTGGGCAAGTTTTGACACTTCTGAAAAGCTCATGCCAATGGTTCTTGACTTTTTCGCCACAAGGAGACCCGCTTCATTTTCATTAATTTTCCTTTTTTACATTTCTACATTAGTTTCTATAGCGAGCTTAAGTTCTTGACGCAATCAATGTTATCACGTGGAATGAATGATGCTATAGCTTAGAACAAAGAAACACGAAATTTTGAAACTTTATTGCTATTGCATATTTTACGCAAAATTCAACTTATGAACCCCCAGTTTTACTATAGGGGATCCCTTGCCGTAACGACCACAAGGGAAGTGAACTTAGAATGACCCAAAATTCGTCTAGAAACCACCCTGTGTATACCTCACTTAGTCTTTATGCATATGTATTATTTAGGTATACCTCAGTTTTTAGCTTTAACTATGTGAGAAAAAGGTACTTAATTATTTTTCTAGAAAGATGATATTTTATTTCAATAGTTTTACATGAAATTCTATATATTTCTATATTATATTTTTCTAAGATAATAAAATTTTAAAATATTATAGTTTACCCTACAAAGTATAAGTTTTTTTGTTACCCCCACCATACATTCTCTTTATTTAAAGGGTACGCTATTATATTTCAGCTTTATTATTATATTAAGGTTGTATAATTGATATATATATATATATATATATATATATATATATATATATATATATATATTTTTTTTTTTTTTTATAAAGAAAACAATATATATTATTTTTGTCAATGGAAAGATTCATTTAAGTTCTGGAAGTTATGCATGTATAGATTAAGAAGAACTATATATTTGTAATATATGTGATCTGAGTAGACTTTAAAGTTCAAAGTATATACAGTGCTAAATCCTGAAACTATAGCTATAATCATAGAAAGAGAGAGAGATCTGAGACGAGTGTCATACAACAGCCTGAAAGTGTATTTGATTATCGTGAAATATCCGAGGTAAGAAAGAACATTCCACTATAATTATATAATTAATGAAGTCATAAACTACTGTACAATTGATTTACAGAACAAAAGAAAGTAACTATTTGAAATTAAACTGAAAATTAGAGATAAAGAGTATGTCTTCTTCACAGCTCGAGGTTGGCACATGGCACATGACACTTGAACAACATCCGATGTGTCTCTTATTATTAAGAATTTAAAACCCATTCAAAGAGTAAGTGTTCTTGGCATTTATAATTGTATAATATTATAATGATGTTTAATCAAATTTTGCTCAGATCGTATATAATGACATAAATATTATATATAATTTGTTTTTGATCTTGCAAGAAATGATTTACTTATATTTAATAACTTTATATTGTTTATCGTTCCTAAACTAGAATAATTGTTTCTTTTCTAGGAATGGATTAATTTTTATTTTTATTTTTTATGTTTTATTTGGTTATGCTGAAGTTGTGATTTATTCGTCCCTGGTGCTGTGAACAAGAATAAAAGAGCCCAGGATATTGATGAAGACAAGGAAAGAAGATACCTGAGAAGAACAAATAGTGTAAAAGTGACAGGTTGGAATATAACTACTTGGACATTTTTGTAGATGAAAGTTTATTCTACTGTAGATGTGTAATGAGCTATGATTCAATATATCAACAACAATTGTAAGCTCATTAAGTGGTTTGATATTATCCCTTCTCTCGGTTACCTCTAAGGCTGAAGTTAGATCATAAGTAACCTTTATGAATTTTTTTATTTTTTAGTGTGGGTTCTAAAGAAAACTTTTGGAGAAACCACACATTTGTAATAACAGATAGTGCCCCTCTGGATAGTCTGAGTGATTCCCAGAGCAAAGAGAAGTAATAGGGTGGGCGCAATATATTGAGTGAATTTTTCACATGATCTTCAAAGTAAAAAACAACAAATATCAAACTTAGACTGCAGATCACCAAGCCTGATACTGAATCACGAAATGAGACTTGCCTCAAATCTAATTCGATAGTTCAGCGCCTCGTCGGTGCGATTCAATAAATCTTTGAATATTTTCCTCACTTTTGAGTCGCCGATAAAACTAATCCACATGGTACTCCTTTTGGTTAGCCTCCTCTTGACACAGGCGGCGAATAAGGCCGGGTGGTCGTAGGGCGCGATGACACACGGCACGAAGGGCAACACGCCTCCGCCGGCGTCGATTCTGCTTCCCCCTCGGACGTGCGGCCTCGGCTGAGCCTGCTTCGTCCCGGCCGAGGCTTCGTCCTCTCTTTGGAGGTGCTCGAGGGACACGAGTTTGGGCAGAAGGGCGCCGAGGACACGATAGTCGTCTGTGTCAGGCCCCGAGGATGACGCCCTCTTGCGCACCAAGTGCCGCACCCCCCTGGCAGCGGCAGCGATCTCTTCCTCACCGTAGGCCACAGCAAGCCTGGGTTTTATTCCGGGGTTCACGTGAAAACCGCTCTCGTTCACAAGGACGCCATTCTCGTTCGTGGCAACATGTCTGAAAACATTCTTGCTAGGAACGCCATTAATGGTGAATAGTGAGCGACACACATCAACGTCTGGAATCTTCGCGCTTGTTGCGAAGGACGTAATAGGTCTATCATAACTTTCCTTATCGATGGATATAACTTTATAAAAACTCACGACAGAAAAACACATAAAAATGAACAAAACTGAACGAAAATGCAGTAGCTCCATCACCAAGTAAAAATGCTGAACACTGATCAGGCTAAAAGGAAACTTCTTCAAAAATTGGAAAGCAATAATAACGAGATTCTTGTCATGATTTCCACAAGTTCGTTAGCGATAACAAAAATGAATACGTATTTTTTAAATAAATGCGCCAAAATACATCTAATATAGCACCCTTACGAATTTGGTGAACTCTAAGACTATTGTTTAGCAAAGCAGAAAAAGACGATATTTATTTATAGATCAATTTTATCTTTACTTCTACAAGGCATCTTTTTTCCTGGACGCAGAGGCAGGAAAATATGGAATGAATTCAGTCCTTGCAACTCATTTTCCTTAGTACATATTTTCTTCTATTTCCTGTAAATAAGAAGAATATGATGATAACTAGAATAAAGATTTCCCATTTGGTACTGATATTATCAACAAAGCTATTTTCAGTTGCTATCATATCAGTAGTGTTGTCATTATTTTCATCACTTTTATTATCAATATCATCATTATCAAAACCATCATAATGTCATTGTTGTAGCAGCGTATCTG